GACTCTGCTTGTTCTGCAGATTCAGTTTGTCATTCATCCACTCCATGGCCTTATCTATTTTTTTCTGTTTCCTGTTTCATTAATTTCTATACTGTATTTATTATTTCTTCCCATCACGCCATTCTGAGATTTTGGTTTTTGCCACTTAAGAAGTATAAAAGCTTAAATATCAAAGGCTAGTTGATTTGTTTTCAGGGATTTTTTTTTTTTGACAAATGTATTTAAAGCCATATGTTCCTTCTTCGATCTGTCAAGCAGATTTGACATACCATGTTTTTTTTTTAAGTTTATTTTTTTTAAGGTTTTGTTTATTTATTCATGAGAGACACAGAGTGAGGAGCAGAGACATAGGCAGAGGAGAAGCAGGCTTCCTGCGGGGAGCCTGCTACGGGACTCGATGCCAGGACCCCGGGATCACGGCCTGAGCCAAAGGCAGATGCTCAACCACTGAGCCACCCAAACATCCTGACATACTATGCTTTCATTGTGCTATTAACGTTAAGTATTTTAGAATATCCTTTATGTTTTTCTCTCTAACCCAAGAGTAATTAAAGAGCCAACTTTTTAGTTACCCAACAGATATAACTTTTTAAGCTAATAATTAGCTACTGATTTCTTATCTCCCCAACATGATCAGAAAACATTGTCTGGTTTATTTCCTTAGAATTTATTGAGGCTTCTTTCATGGCTAAATTGTTGCCAGTTTTTGTATAGGGTCTATGTGAGCTCAAAACGTGATGTGTATATAGTCTGTGTGAAATGCATTGTGCTATAAACACCTAATTCGAGTTCATTAATCATGTATATCTCCATATCTTGTTTTTTATTCATTTTCTTCATTTTTACTTTCGAGCCAATCCGGAATCTCTGTGTATTTTTTTATTATTGGATTTAACCTAGTTACAATTACTAATATATTCAGACTCATTCCTGTCGCTTTATTCAGGGGTTTGCCTTCAGCACATGGGCTTAGGTCAAATTCTCTAGAAGCAGAGCCCGAGACAGGAATTCTTGTCTAAGTGACGCTTGAGAGTAGGGCCTCCGGAGGGGAAGATTTGGGAGTGCAGTACAGGGCAGGGAAAGCAGAGGAGGACAGCTTCCAGTTGGAGAGAAGCTTCCCCCGTGGAGGGTGGAGCTCACCCTGACGTTTACCTGCTGCCTGCCATGAGCAACCGTCCAGGTCCTGCTGTACCTCCCACAGGAGACAGAGAGATCAGTGATCTGCCCTGGGCAGTGTGCAAAAGAGAAAAGGGCATACATACCCTAAAAGCACTCCCACACCCTGGGAACCAGCCTTCTTTCTCTTGGGGTGCTCCCACTCCTCAACCTGGAGACCCCATCATCTTGAGCCTCACTCTGGCCTCAGTGGTAACTGCAGAGCTGGGAGCAGAGAAGGGAGCAGCAACCTTTGCCAGCTCGCCCTCTTGTCCTACCCTTTCAATTTCCACTCTTCCTTTTCTGTTGTGGACTCTTCTCTGAGGACTCAGGCCACTCAGTTTTTTGGTGGATGGATCGGAGGTTGACCTGAGTGACCACCTGGACTTGGAGGATCAACCCCCATCTTTTCCACTCTCCATGGTCCCTTCCCCTAGGATGAGTCTTGTCCCAGGTGGCTCTCCCATCTCTCAGGTAAGTAGCCTCCTGCTGGGTGCACCCTAGGTCCTACAGCCTGGACCCTATATACCTGTGTCTTTGGGAGACGGCATTTCAGACTTGAGCTAAGATCCTCCCTGCCTCAACCCACCCCCACCTCATTATATGTAACCTAAAGTGGCCAAAACTCTTTGGGGTGGTTCATAATAAAAAAAAGGAACATGTAAAGTCGGAAACAAAAACACTTACAAATAAAGTTCGAGAGACTCCAAGTCGCATACACGGAAAGGTAAAAGAATTCTTTCAGGGAAAAAAAATCGTTGGATTTCAGCCCCAACTTTTACTGGCAGCTGAGGTAAACTAGAAGGCACTGGACCACATTCAACTGGTTGTCACTGGATGCGGTTTTTTTTGTTTTTGTTTTTGTTTTTTTGGAAAATCTACAGCAAACATTTCTAATTTTTAAAATCCCTCTTTCCAAGGGACGCCTGGGTGGCTCAGTGGTTGAGCATCTGCCTTTGGCTCAGGTCATGATCCCAGAGTCCTGGGATTGAGTCCTGCATCAGGCTTCCCGCAGGGAGCCTACTTCTCCTGCCTACCTCTCTGCCTACGTCTCCGAGTCTCTCATGAATAAATAAAATCGAAATAAATAAATAAATAAATAAATAAATAAATAAATAAATAAATAAATTCCCTCTTTTCCAAAGACCTATCTGTTAAACAATTTGGTTCAACTCCTCCTCTATTCTTTTATCTGGACAATTTTTCCTTCAAACTCACTTGACAAGTAGAAGGCTAATCACTGAATGCTCTTTGCATCCGCTTTCAGCTCACAATGACCACTGGATGACAGTCTTTGAGGATCTGTGATGCTGGAAGGGAGCTGAGAGCTACAGAGAAGGGGATAGACATCCCCAGAGAAGCATGTCGTGGGTGCGAATAGAGACTGAGCTCTGTGTCCTCAGCTTCTTGTCCCAGCTCTGCCTCAGAGAAGTCTGTTGTTTTCAGCTCTGGGCTTCAGTCTACTCGTTGGGAAAATATGAGTAAGACTAGAGCCCCCCTCCTAGATGTGTTGTGAGAGTTAAATAAGGTGATGAATACACAGCGCACCACCCAGGATAAGGAGGATAAGGCGAGTTACAACATCACAACAAGAGCCAGTATTTTCTGATGTGCGCTACTCCCAGTCCCTGTGCTGAGAGCTTTGACTCCATTCTGCAGCTGAGCTCTCCATGAGTCTGGGGAGCAGATGGACATTTTAATAATGAGGAGTCTACACTGGAGGCTTTACTGTGGGAGGGGCCCACAGGTAAGCTCTCCCCTTCCCCTTCGATAGATGTAGAAGCTGATATCCAGCGGGAGGGGATGACTCGCTCGAGGTCTTTCTAATTGCAGAACCAGTACTCTTCCAGTCCGAGTCCACAGCCAGCTTTGGTTTGCATTTCTGCTTCCATGTCAGCGTTGGGTTAAACAAAACTTTTTAAAAGATGTATCTTCACTATCCCCTTCCCCGTGAGGAGGCCTCTGTGACTTCTGGGAAGGAGGTGTAGTCTTGTACTCAAATGGTGTGTGTGTGTGTGTGTGTGTGTGTGTGTGTGTGTGTGTTTCCTGTCCCCACTCCCAGAGCAATTCATTTCCTACCTTGAATCCTTGTGCTGGGATTTTTTATAGCAAACTATCCCCATTTCACAAGTAGCCTCAAGCAACAATTAGTCCTGCATGTAATTTTTGAATCAAATGGGGGGGGGGGGGTTTGGGTGGGAACCGTGCAAGCCGTTTGCAAGCAGATGTAGCCCGAGGTGGAGTCACTCCCTGTGTTGTGGGGAGGCCGGGAGGGGCTGGAAGGAGAAAGAACAGAGGCCCAGCCTGGTGTACGGCCTGGAGCTCTGAATTAGGAGGCAGAAGAGTGGGGACTATGTGGTGGGCAGGATAGAGACCCCCACAGATGCCCACGCTCTAATCCCCCAGAAGCTGTGAACATTATCTAATATGTCAGGACTTCTTCTGTGGATGTGACTCAGACTAATTAAGGACTTTGACACGGGGGACAGGATCCAAGTGGATGTGAAGTAGTCCCATGAGTCCTCAGAAGCAGAGAACCTTTCCTAGCTATGGATGGGGAGACGTGCCGGCAGAAGGGGCAGGGCATGCACGGCTGCTGGCTTGGAAGATGGGAGGAAGGGGCCACGAGCCAAGGAAAGCGGTGGCTTCTGGAGGCTGGAAAAGGCAAGGAAATGGATTCCCCCCTTAAAGCCTCCAGAAGGAACAAAGTCCTGGTGGCACCTTGATTTTAGCCAGTGAGACCCATGTCTGACTCTTTAAGATACTAAATTTGTGTTGTTTTAAGCGCTAAGTTAGTGGTAATTTGTTATAGCAAATGAATGCAGCCTGGTTCCTTTTTCCTAACGCTTCATCCCTTCCGTGACCTCTGTGAGCCTCGGTGTCCTGATCAGTAAAGCCAAGGTCACTTCTTATAATCCCCAACTTTCCAGGCCTGGCCAGCCCTGGGGACCTAAGAAGTCAGTTCAACAGTAACATACGACTGTGTGACTCTGCCCTATACCTGATGAGTCTGCAGGCACCTGGCAAGCCTCCTCCGTGAAGCCTCGCTAGAGGACAAAAGACCTGCTTCCTGCACTCTAACTAGCAAGCTGCCTGGAGCTTCCCTATCAGGCCCCCTGTGGCCCCAGCCAAAGGACCAGTCATCAGTTTCCCTGCCTGGCCTGCTTCCACCCCTGCTGCCTCCGGGACCACCTGGGAGCCCTCTAAAACCACATCCCCCACCCCAGATCGATTGAACAGAATCTCCAGGAGGCCCTGCAAACTGTCATCTTGCAAAAGAACACGAGGGAATTTGGGAGACTGAGGATTTAGTCTGTCGTCTTCCAAGAATTATATCATTCCTCCAACATGTGGGGCAAGTCATTTGATCTTCCTGGGTCTCATTATTCTCCTGTATAACCTGAAAAATCCGTCCCTAAGCTTCCTTCCAGAACTGAAGCTCTCACGCACAATAGTATCTTCCTTTCATTTTCTGAAGACACCTTAGGATTTTATCCCATCACGGGGCTGTTGTGGCAAGCATCCTTTTCTCTGTACAAAGCTGTGTAGATTTGGGACCCTGGGATGGGTCTAAACTAAGGCTGTAGCATATCCCAGAATTTGTCTCAAAATATATAAATGCATTTTTAATTCTTAGTAAAGTAAAATAAAGGCAACTCCAGCATTCTGATGAATACTCAAGAGATGGAAAGCAGTGCCTGAAAATTTGATAGAGGTCACCTCGTGGGTGTGGGGTAGGGGGCAGGGAAGGTGGGAGAGAGGGTGCAGGGAGCAGGGAGGCAGAGAGGAGGGGTAGAGGAGGTAGGGGGAGGTGTGAGGGGAAACCAGAAATGCCGAAGACCTACCTCCTCCATCATCAACAGGTATAGAATCCATCTGCTCTGCCTACTTCCTTAGGTTAGCGTGAGAAGCCACAGCATGGTCTGTTTGGACCATTCTCTAAACTGTTGAGTGTTACGGGGCGGTAAAAGGTTCTGCTGCTTCTCCCTCCTTCTTGAGCATGGACCCTTAGCAGCCAGCCTTCTGAGACAATGTTGTCCTGTTAAGAGAACAACGAAGCCCAGAGAAGGCAAACGACCCGTTCAATGTCTCACCTTCCCAAATATCAAGAGTCATTGATCTAAATCCAGCCCATTATATCAGTGAGGGGAGGCAAGCTGTGTTCCAGTAGCAAACAACCCCCAAATAACAAGCTTTCTTTGTCAACAAGTCCATCACAGGTTGGAAGGGCTTCTGTTTGTTGTGGTCATGGAGGCACCAAGGCCGATGGAGCAGCCATCATTTCAAATCATATAGGTCACCGTGCCAGAAAGAACGAGAGACCTTTGGAGGGTCTGGTGAGTGTGACACACGTCACTTCTGGTCACACTCATTGGTAGGAACTAATCACAAGACTCCAACCCACTACATGGGGCCACTAGTAAAAGGTGGTACAAACACACCAGGCACCTGCCCAGCAGGAAGGTGTGCAAAAGGCACTATTGCCCATCACATCCATGTGTCCGTCCCCCTCCTCTCCATGGTCCCTCCTCTATAAAACCTCTCCCCATCCCACAAACTGTATTCCTGAAAGTTCTGTTTGACCGGAACATCAAGTCTGATCCCTCAGCCTTTCGTACATGCTAGGACTGGTGCTTTGCCTTTGGGCCTTTGATACCCAGCACAGGGCCTGCGTGTGGGAAGATGAATGCTGCTTCCAAATACACATGACATTTTCTTTAATTTTTGTTTAACAGCTATAATGCACCAGTGTTATTTAAACGACTTGAAAATTATTTAATCCTTAAAAAAAACCGTTGTGGTCATAACTTATTTCCCCCATTTTATAGCTGAGGGCCTTGAGGCACAGAGAGGTTAAGTAACCAACCCCGGGTCACAAAGCTACCAAGGGGTGGAGTGGGGAGCTGCACTCAGGAGTAGTCTTGATAATCAAGGTGCGTGGTGTCTACACCCTGCTGCTGCTTGATGCCCCAGCAGGGAGGGTCCAGCTGAGCACCCCTTCCCACTCTTTGATTCTAACACCCAGCTCAGTGCTCAAGCAGGCTCCATGAGGGCCCCCTCCCCTTTTGGGGGAGCATCATAGACATTGTAACCCAGTTCCCCTCTCTGTCAAAACTTGCCTGTCTTGAGTCCTACCCCCCCCTCTCAGAAGCTTGCCCTCTACAGACCTGATAAATTCCAGGAGAGCTGGGAGGTGCAAAAGATCATTATTTTCCCCTTGACAGTTTTGCCGAGGGCTGGCCCTGGAGCAGATAAACCACCCTGGGCAGAACCAGGCTGGTGGCACCGGCAGCTCAGCTCCTTGTGATGCAAACATGCAGGATCTGTAGACCGATTTGGAGCAATGTCTTCCAGCGATGAGCCTCTGAGCACCCAGTTGAGGCCTTGCTTCTTCTTTTCAAACGAGATCCTCAGATGAGGAGCCCAGGACGCCACAGGACGATGGGCGGGATGAGAGACTGCAAACATTCTGCTGTCTCACTGTCCTCCTTTTCGAACTGGCAAGTGGCTTTTCTATCTGGAGCCCTTGGGGGACTTTTGCTGGTGTCCCTGACAAACGAATTCTTTCAGTTAAGGCCCGAATCTTTCAGGGTGAAGGCCACAGGGTTTACAAAGTGAGCTTTTGGAAGCTGAGGGTAAAAGCCCATGTCCACCATGGGGTTCCCGGACACAGAGTGGCTGCAGGAACGGCTCTGGCACATGGAGGTGGAGCCAACAGGTCTAGCCTTCATGGCCTGTGCTCTGAGCTGGGTTCTGAGGGACGCTGCACACACTGCGGACTCTCCTCACAGACTCTCAATGAAGTGCACCCTCCAAAGAAAGAATTCCAAAAAAAATCCCTCAGGATTCAAAAGTTGTACTCTTTTCAGGAAAAAAAAAATCCAAATTCCCAAATGATATTCAAACACGAATTTGTTGCCACTCGGAATTAGAGTACGTGTTGGGGGAGGAAGGGGGACAGTGGGGGGTAGGGGGCGGTAATGTCAAGATGGAAAAAGATGAGAAAAAGGGAAATGCGAATTTGGGAGGGGCTGGTCTGTTGCAGTTGACCAGAGTCCCTTGCTCTGGCCTGCAGGTACCACAAGATGGCAGCATTTCTGAACATTCCAGATCATTCCCCCCCCCCCCCCCCCTTGGGACTGCTTCTCAGGGCTCTGGGGTGCCTTGGCGTCCAGTCAGGAGCACATCCTCCCCCGTATTTAGGAGGATTAAGAGTGCCGACCTGAGATGCTCTCGTCCTCAGCCAGAGACAAGAGAGAAGAGGGCCGGAGCCGAAGAGCTGGATCTCTCCGGTGCACGTTCAGCTGTTTAAACAAAATCAGCGCTGAACCCAAGCGCCTGTTGGCCAGTGGCCACTTTGGCTGTTGGGCTGGATTGTCTTAGTGTGTCTGAGAAACAGAATGCTTGTTTGGCCAGATGTCATGTGGAGGCCAAGGGACTTCGCGGTGCTCTAGAGAGTACATCCCCGCTAACTAACCTCAGCCTGGAAGCTCTGGGGACGTTATTCTGTAGAATCTGGCACCAGTGGCCAGACCGAGGGTCCCACCCCACCCTACCACCACCCTGGGTGCCCACACCAGTCATCTGGTGTGAAAGAGTGGACCGTTTGTGCTATTAAAAACTCTTCCCGGTATTTGTTTTCCATACTCTATTTGTTCATTCATTTACTTTTCAGTATTTATTCAGCACCTCCTCTGAGCCAGGTGTTCTGCTGTGTCCTGGGGATTCGAGAATGACACCATCAGGGAACTTGCATCTAGTTGGGGATGGAGGGAGAATGAATGAATTACCATTATAAAAAGGGCTGTGCAGGAAAAGTGCTACAGCAGGGATTCTGGAAGGCTCCGCCATTTATTAGCTGTTGGTCTTGGGCAAATTATTTGGCCAGGGCCCCGGCATATGGTTCTTGAGACTTTGCACGGGATGGCCGGGAGGATGGACGGATGCACGGAAGCAACAGCATCTGCCACCTGTTATGCACCTCACAGCTCCTGGGGGTGCTATTCACACAGGCCACACAGGATTGTGGTGGCTTTGACTCTACCGCCCCCAGACTCTTACCTGTACTCTTAAGGGTTTCCTTAACTGTAAACTGGAATCATAATAGTGACATCACGGGACTGGTGTGAGCATGGAGTGAGGTACAGGAAAGAGTGTGAGGATCCAGCTCTGTGCCTGGTGTGTCCATGATTATTAGATCTAAGAAGCCATGATATCAAAGCTCAATATAAAGGCTTAAATCTTCATTTTGGAGATGCATGCAAAGCCCCATGTGCCCATTAAGTTGTGCGTTGGGCCAATTAACGGCCAGTTTTCAGCAGCCATGCTGCTTCCTCCTACCACCTGAAGGAGGGTGGAGAAAACTGATGCCCACCTCGTGGCGGGGTAGCCGTGCTATGATCTCCACTTTCAATCAGGTCTGTGCCCATCCTTGCGGAGCACGAGACAGATCTACCGGCTGGCCAGTCGGGTCAGGACCAAGTGGCCAAGGGAGACATTCCCGTGGCGGCAGCGCCTGGGTGATACCTGCTACCTGCTGTCATCCTCAGGGCAATGCTGTGATGCAGGCTGTGGCGGGAGCATCCTTGCAGGCTAGGAAATGGAGGCCAAAGGTCACTCAGCAAATATGTGCTGAAGCTAGGCTTAAACCCACGGCAGACGGGCTCCGAGTCCTGAAGGCTGTCTTGAGAGGTTTGGTGGAATTGACTAGAAGGGTACAGGTAGCTTGTCCCCAGGCCAAAAGCGGGACTTAAATGCTTGCTGCGGCGGTCCCATGGACCATTTCTAACAGGCTCTCCACTGGCCTGGAAAACAAATATGTGAACATGTGAACAACAGACAACAAACAAACATGTGAACAAACATGGGATGCCGGGAAATTATTACACAGCCATCCCACCAGCTCACATGCTACTGTGCGCTTCTGTCCAGCCCCGCTCAGCTGCCCCTGGGTGAGCTGACCTGGGCCTGCCGATAGCCTGCGTGTGAGACAGAAAGGCCCCTGGCACTATGGCTGTCTCACCTGACTTCTGGAAAGGCGATCTCCTTGTCCCAAGACAATCTGGGGTAAAGTTAACCCTGTTCAACCCTTCGAAGGAAGAGCCATTTCGAGGTGCCCAGGGGAGAAGGGAAACAGCGATGTCTCCGAAGATCTCCTCCCACCAGACTAGGAAAACAGTGACATCCAGCCCCCCACAGGGCCAGGGAAAGTGAGAGCAGCCCAGAGGATGGATTGTGGCCGAGCCACATAGGTGGTGACGCCCTTGTGCTAATGGTGTCACCTCGGATTTTAGAATGCCCTGGCAGATTAAAGTGTTTCTCAGATAAAGGAAAAACGGTGTCACCAAATGTTTGAGGACTGAGGATTTAGGTCCAATGGGGGTGTTAAGTGTGATGCAAGCAGCTTTCTTTTTTTCCCTCTAGAATTGTTTGGCAAGTTGTAGTGGACATCTGATGTTTCTACCAGCTGGCATCAATTCCCTTTCCTATAATAGCATCCTGGGTTTTCCTTGGGGTGGGGGGCTCCCCTTCCCCATTGCTCTTCTTCTGGTTTGAATGAGTCTTACTCCCTTCACTGGCTCTGGGGATGGGCATGGACCCAGGGCTGACCAATTCCTATGCTTCATACTCTGGAGGCGTGAGCATTTCAGAGGTGGGTATGACACCTCAGCCAAACCAAATTGAGAGTCAATCCTGAGGTTTTGCCAGAAGTGGGGGACAACACACTCTCTTTCTGAAGGGGTTCCTAAGCTGGGAACCCATGGGCCTGGAATTGCTAGTGGTTGTGTTGCCCTTACATGAGGAGAACCACCTGAGACTTAAGGCAGCCAAGAGAAAAGCAGAGAAAGGAGATGAGATGGTGTGACCAAGATTTCTGGTGACATCTTTTGAGTGGCTTGGTTGAACTGTGAATTTTTTTTAATGATATGAGTTAATATATTGCATTTGATGTTTTTGCAAATTAGAGTAGAGTTACTGTCTCTTAGTCCTGAAAGCATCCTGATATAGAAACATTCTCAAAATATTATATCAGTAAGCCAGAGCTGAAGATACAATGGAAATTTCATTTGAAATGTATTTGGTACTAAGTATCCATCAGAATTGTTTTGTGTTTTACATATTATTAAAGATGTAAGAGAAATTGTGCTGTGCCTACACCATATCATGAAAAAAATAAACAAATACTCTTCATAATACTATCTAGTAAATCCCAGAGACCTAGTTCCCTGTAGTCAGAAAGATCTAGGTTTGAGTTCTAGCTCTGTCAATTACCTTGGACAACTGTCATAACTGTCATGGGCCTTGGTTTACTCATCTGTAATATGGTGGTAATAAGAGTAGTTATGTCATTGGGTCATCAGGGAGGATTAATAAGAATAAGAATAAGAATGAAATAAGAATAAGAATAAGAAATAAGAATATCCAGCTTTACCACAGTACTATGAGATGGGAACCAAAGGGCAGGAAGATTAGCTTTCTCAAGATTAGCTAACTAGTCAGTGGCAGAGCTAGAATTTGAATCTGGGCAATGTGGCTCAGGGCTTTCACTCCTGACCACCATGATTATCATCTCTTGAACCTAAAAGAGGTTGAGTAATTTGCCCAAGGTCACACCTCATAATATTGTACACAGAGTGCTTATCATAGGGTCTGATACCAACACATGTTAAGAGAACATGGAATAAGAAGAGTATTAACCAGTTGGATACATTTCAGGGCAGGGGCACGTCTGCAATCATGGGCAGATGCAGGAGTGGGATTTAGGAGACCTGGCTTATTACCTCTGCTGATAACCTGACATGTGACCTTAGGCAAGTCACTTGCTTTTCTGGTCTATGACTTCTCATATGTAAATCAAGAGGATTGTTGAGGCCCCAGGGTAGCTCAGTCAGGTAAGTGTCCGACTCTTGATTTTGGCTTAGGTCATGATGTCAGGGTCACAAGATCCAGCCCTACGTGGGGCTCTGCATCGGCATGGAGCCTGCTTAGGATTCTCTCTCTCCCTCTGTCCCTCTCCTTGTTCACTCTCTCTTTCTTTCTCAAAAAAAAAAAAAAAGAGGATCAAAATTGTTCTCTACCCACAGCAACCATCTACTGGTCCATTCAACAACCAAGGAGACCGAGGCCACATGAATTGGACTTGGCATGGAGTTTTAGGTGAGGTGTCTGGATCAGAGACCCCCTCTCCCTGCCAGTCAGTCTGAAGGTGTGGATGCAGGGCTTCATCCTCCATGCTCTACACTGCTTGCATCTTGGAGCTTCTCTTCCAAGTTTTCCCTATTTCTCTACCCTAGTCCACATCTAAGGTCAAGGAAGAAAAATGTGACTGAAATTGGTCATCTCTGACCCAGAGCAAAGGAAGCCTAAGCCTGGCCCTCAGCTTTCTCACATGTTGAATCCATGGCCAACTCCCAGCTTCTTCCCTGATCATTTAAAGGCTTTTTATCACATCTGAAAAGGCTTCCCAAGTGGCAACAAACTCTCCCAGGAAAAAAGTAAGTGTTTTGATGAGTTAAGTGTAAATGAATCAAAACCATATGGATTAAATTTCCCCTAAAATACATTCAGGATTGACCCTGAAGGATAAATGCTCTGGGACAATATGGGTGGGAGGGGTGGAGAGTCTAGAGTCTGACTTAGAACTTC